ATTATCTTCTCTTAAGTAGATTGGTGCTGCCAGGAGCAGACATACCTCATTTTCATTTAAAAAAAAAAAAGAACCTATGTTATTAAAACATCTTAAATACCATATTCTATAAATCTCTAAAGTGTTTGAAGATCACCTGTCTATCTAAAATATATGTTTGAAAGCAAACCTAACAAGAGAAGTTTGATTGTAATAGGTGACTATTAACCTGCAATTCTATATTATCCTAAATAGTTGTAATAATAACTCTCAATGACTGGAAATTTGTATTACATTGTTAAATTAGCTGTATAGTTACAATACTTTGCACAAGAGTAGAAATGTTTGCACATGCATGGTATGTTCTAACAAATATAACCTTAAATTTGTATCCATATACAAAATCCATATCTATATCAATTTAAAATATTTAAAACTAGCAGTTGCTTTTTTGGTTTAAAAGTAGATTCAATAAACTACCCCTTTATCCTATAATTTCTGTAACATGTATACAGTATAACAAAAATAATATTAATTTGTATCAATAAACAAAAATCCAAGCCAATGTAAAATATTTAAAACTAGTAGTTACTTTTTTGGTTTAAAAGTAGATTCAATAATTTACCCTGTTATCCTATCATATCTATATCCCCAATTTTTCTTTTTAGAATGAGATCCCTGAATCTAATCTCCTTTGTTCAGCTTTTTCCCTGACCATTACCAATAACAACCTGTTACCGACCCACCTAAATGACAGGAAATATTCATAACCCATTGGACAACCAAAAACCACCTGTTCCTACCTCTTGGGAAAAAGGGCATAATGTTCTTAAAATTGTTTCCTGTTGTCTTAGGCATCTTTAGGGGATCCTGAAAAAATTCTGCTTAATTGTCAAATCCTAGGAGAGTTAGCTATGTCATTGGTTGTCCAATGTAGGACTTATCTCAAATCCTGGCTAGTGTAGTCTGTGAGGCTGGACCATCTTAGCTAGCCACCTTGAAATTGGCCTAAGTAATTTGTAGTCCAAAACCAATTTTTAGATGGTGTTTTTAAGTTTAGTGGTGTTACCACAATCCTAATGGAATTGTCTATGTGGGGCCCCATCGCCCTTTTGGAGACTTCAAAGATCACTGTTAGGAATGGCATTGGTTTACTGCAGAAAACTTAAACATTTTAAATGTCATATGCAGAAGATCTCAAAAGATTAAAGGATCGATATTTGTTATGTACATCCATGTAAACAGAAGTTTCTGTCCTGCCCAGTCAATAGCCATTCAGTCCCAAATAAACACACAGAGGCTTATAATAATTACAAACTGACCTGCATGCAGACAGAACACTGTCTGTATACATAATTAATTAATTAAAAAAGAAAAAAGAGCCAGTTCCAGTACAGGCTCCAAAGCTATAGAGGAAACCCTATCTTGACAAACAAACAAACAAAAAGAAATAAAGAAAGAAAAGTAGTAAATCAAGACCCTTTCTAAATACATTGGTGGAAACATCAGAGAGGTGGGTAACAGCAAAGCAGAGAACTGCGATAGGTCCCAGATGCTGTCTGATGACATTCTTAGTCTTGGGGTTGGTGAAAGCTGCTGCTAAGTTAAAGGTTTCAGAAGGTTTTACCTGATAGTCAGAAGGGCGTTAGACCAGGCCCAGAAGTGGAAAAGGAATAGCCAGTAATGGGCTTGTAGGTAGTCCTTGTAGGATGTGGAGATGTAATCAAGCTGTACCCAGACTATCATTATTGTAGGTTCAAGCACCCAGGAGATGGGTTCCAATTAATTTGCAAATTATGTTTGCTCTCATTATAAGGAGGTCTTGTCACACACGTGTGTTGGGAGTCCATGTGGCTATTAAAGCCTTTCTAAATCTCAGGGGTACAACCCACCCTGGATACACTGAAGGGAACCCATTTGGGATTTCAGGTAATTAGAGAAATGCTCCCCAAAACAGGTACAGAAGGGTGTGACTGAGCCGTTGGAGGAAGCAGCGTCATTCCCATAGATGTCTGATTTACCAGTGTGGATACAATCGCCTGTATAACTGCTGGGTTATTTGGGACAGGTTGGTTTTTTTTAAAAAAAAAAAAAATGGCAGTATTTAAAGAAGCCAGGATTTTCCCCTTCGGCTATGTGCTCCTCTGTCTAGGCTCAGCCACTGTTGGCCACCTTCTCCCCTGGGCTGCCAAGCTCTGCTGTGGCCACTACCCTGGCAGCTGGGCAGGAATGCTGCTTGGGATGGGTCACCTGAGTCAGCCAGCCCGGCCCATTACTCTCCTTTCCCCCTGGTTTAACTGTGACTACCTTCTTCCCTGTGGGGTCCCCCCAACTCCCTGACTCCTATGGATACTCCAAATGAAGCACACATCTCTAAAGATTTTAATCTAATGCCAGAGAGAGGGAGAGAGAGAGAGAGAGAGAGAGAGAGAGAGAGAGAAAGAAAGAAAATGCAACATTTATCTTCTGTATCTAGATATCTGGGTCACCTCACTCAAAATTATTGTTTCCAGTTCCACCCATTTACCTGCAAATTTCATAATTCCCTTCTTCATAGCATCTAAATAATACTCCATTGTGTAAATATACTACATTTTCATTATCCACTCATCTGTTGACATCTAGACTCTTTGGATTTTCAGGCTATTTTGAATAGAGCGGCAGAGAACATGGATGAGTCTCTGTAGGAGGACATAGAGTCTTTGGGGCATATGGTCACGATGATATAGCTGGACTGTGTGTTGTATCTGTTTCTAGCTTCAGAACTTCCATACTGATTTCTGCACTGGCTGCACCAGTTTGCACTCCCATGAGCCCTCCTTTCCCCACTCCACGGCCATCATTTGCCATCATTTTTTTTTGTTTGGTTTTATCTTAGCCATTCTGGTTGAAATAATAAACACTGCTCAACAATAGTTTCTGATATTCATGGTTCCCAACTCTCCAAGAGACACAGAAATAGCACATGGGAGTAAAAAAACAGGTTCTATCTTTTTGCTTCTTCCAAGAACCACACCACACCATCAATGATAGTTACCACTTTAGTGTAAAAGGATGGAAAAAGATATTCCAAGCAAATGGAACTAAGAAACAAGGAGACAGGGCTATCAATAGCTGACGAAATAGATTTCTAGCCAGTAGAAATAGGAGGGAGTTTCATACTCATTAAAGAAATAATCCACCAACAGGATATTACAACCCTAAGCATATATACATACACCAATAACAGGAGCACCCAATGTTATGAAAGAAATACTATTAGATCTAAAGACCACTGGGTTACCACAACAGACAGAACCTAACTTTGTGACTCCTGTCTATTGAAGTTGTACAAAGCCACTACTTCTAACAAAAGCATATAAATAGTATCTTTTTAAAGATGCCAGAATATAACTCACACCACAGCATTCAACTCAAAAATGAACTCCAGCTAAGGCTAACCTAAGAGCATTCTAAATCATTTGTTGCTTGAATTTGACATTAGAGGGGGTTTTATTGACACTAATTCCTTAATATCTGTCACTCCCTGTGTTAGGTTTTCTATTGCTATGATTGAAAAAAAGAGAGAGAGACCAAAATTCTATCACTGAGGGAAGTCAAGGCAGGAACCTTAAGGTAGGAACTGAAGCAGAGACCATAGAGGAACACTGCGTCCTGGCTTGCTCCTCATGGCTTAATCAGCCTGCTTCTTATAAAACTTGGGACCCTTCCAGTAAGCTGAGCCTTCCCATATTAATCATTAATCAAGGAAATGCCTTACAGAGATTCCTACAAACAATCTGATGAAGGATTTTATCAATTGAGTTTCCTCTAGTTTGTATAAAGGTGACATCGTCGTCATCATCATCATCATAAACCTCAAACACTCTCCAGTGAGGTCAGATCAAACCAACAAGGACAGATCTGGAAACATGGGATGGCCAAAACCAAACCACTAGTTAGTCAGGATGTCTCCAAAGATAGTTGTTCAAAAACCATGGAGGAAGCTGTCGGAATCAAAATGAATTTATGCTGGTCATGGCGGCGCTTGCCTGCAGTCTAGGAAGTTGGGAGACTCCAGCTAGAGGCTGAGTCTGAGGCCAGCCTGCACTTCATTGCAGGACCCCATTTCAAAGTCAGCAACAAAAATAGGCTTGCATGCCACTCTACAGAAAGCGACTAAGACCAAGAGGCTGTGTGTACGGAGATGAATCTTGGGCATGGTTATCAGACACAAATTTAATGTGCCCTGACCTTGGCTCCCACTTCTATTCTGTTTATATCTGTTTCAGAAACTGGCATATTTCAGAAATTTTCACAGAAAGTCCAGCAAATCGCCCTAATCCAGCTGTCTAAAGAGGGAAAATTAAACTGCCCTGGCAAGAGAGGAGATAATCTAAAGAGTCAACCTGGGTCACCCTTTGGTCATCAGACTACATGTAAATGGTCCACATGGCTCTTTGTGTAAATAAAACCCAGGAATTTAAATCGTTAAATAATGTCTTATTCGAAGAGTCCACGCTCGGAAGGCAGAGCAAAAACTGCTTCCCTGGGTTTCTTCTAGACAGGGTTTTAATTGAGAATCAGAGCAAAGACGGTGAATACAAATTCAGTCTTAACCTTCTGTCCTGATGGATCTAGTCTCTGATATTCTCCCCCACCCCTCCATTATTGTCTTTTCAGGGTTGTACTGCCACCAGTTGGTAGAGATGTGAATGGCATTTTTGGATTTCCCAATTCTTGTCTCCCAAGCTTTAAAGGCTAATTGGGTCCTGCTGGTGCCTTTCTCAGTATCTTAGAGCTTTCTTTGGCTTGCCAGTGGCATAAGAGGGTCCTTCTCCTCTCCCACTGCCCCTTCACCTGGAGGTTTGACAACAACCAATCTGCACACTTTCTGCAAATCTTTTCTCCCACCAGCCCCTACTCAAGCCAGATACTGGGATGGGGGCTGGACCACTAATGCACCCTTCTGCCAGCGGCATGCCCGAGGGGAGTGCCTACTGGAGTCTGCCCTTCTAATTCTCCGTTCCCTGTCCTTGTAGATGAATTCTTCGTGTACAACCACCACGACCACCATGTCACCCCGCTCTGAAGCCATGCAGAAAGGAAGAGAGAAATTAAAGACGGTGCCCCTCTACCTGGAAGAAGACATTCGTCCTGAAATGAAGGAAGATATATACGACCCCAGCTACCAGGATGAGGAGGGGCCCCTGCCCAAGCTGGAGTATGTCTGGAGAAACATCATCCTCATGTCCCTGCTGCACTTGGGGGCTCTGTATGGGCTTGTGCTGGTTCCTTCCAGCAAGTTCTACACCTTGCTCTGGGGTAAGCACCTTTCTTTGTTCTGGGCCAGTGCCTCAAGTTTCTCCCCTACCTCTAATGAAGGGTGTCTTGCGATGGGCAGTGGCCCCGTTGGGTCCAGCTTTCCCTAGCTTTTCTCTGTGGTTCTTGATAGAACTAACTGAATGCAGCCTAGTGGGATTGGGGAGCGAAAGTCTCTGCTTTGTTTTCTTCTCTCTCTTTAACAAGACAGGTTCTCATTCATGCAGTCCAGGCTGGCTGGGAACTCGCTCCGTAGCAGACAATGACCTTGAGTCTCTGATTTTCTGGGTCCACTTCCCAAGTGCAGGCACTACAGTGTCCATTACCATAACTGTTTTGTTTGGTTGATTTTTAAGAATCTCACTCTGTTACCTAGGCTGTCCTTAAACTCTCTATGCAGTCCAGGGTGGCCTTGAACCCATAGTAATCCTCCTGTCTCAGCCTGCTGAAATTATATTCTGAGCTACTATATCTGGCAAAAGTAACATGGAGTAATTTGTTGTTCTTTATTAAACACAGGACATGGGGCATACTAGACAGGTACTCTACCACTGTGTCATATCCTTAGCCACTGGGAGTACTTTAACGTGAGTGTTGGGGACCAAGCCCCGAAACCATGTGCAGGACTCACTGAAGGGTACCACTGTGGCAATGAGGCAACCAGCCCCAGTAAGCTTTTCTGTGTGAATCAGTACTTGGCTACCTGTCCCGCCTTTCCTGCCACAGGAGAGCCAGGCCCTACCTAGGAGACATGAGGAAAAGGAACCTTACCAACTCAGGTGGTGAAGCTCAGTCAGGGAACGCGGGAGAGGCTGCACAGGAGGAGGAGCCATTGGGAAGAAAAGTAGACAAGAGGGATGGTTATCCACACACCCATTCAGACCTAACCCCTGGCAGGACCAGGCTGCTTGCCCTGGAGGAGGGTGAAGCAGGCTCCCCAAATGCCCAAGGGTACAGGCACATGGCTCTGCTACCCCAGACAGGTCTTCCAAGTACAGCACATGTCAGTCAACAAGATGTTGACAAGTATTTATGTTACAGAAATGGTTCGTGATCTAGTCTCTACCCAGCCTGCAGCTGTCCCTCTCTCCTGAAGCCATATCATCCGTGAGGCTAACACCTGCTAACACCAGCTGTCTTTACCCTCTACCCATCCTTCCTGGGCAGGGACAGGCATGCTAGAGAATAGAGACTTGAAGAAGGCTTCTGATCGGCACAAGCCCTGACTCCAGGAGTCCTGCAGACTCAGGGCCCCTTGCTTTCTCTGAGGGCTGATGAGCCAGCCCTTCTTTCCCGGACAGTACGGGGAAGTTTGGGGGAACAGAGTCAGGTTTTGGGACTCTGACAACTCTCTCTCTCTCCCTCCCTCCCCCCACCTCGGAATGTATTGTGTAGTAGAGCTGGTTTTACCCTGTCTGTCCCAGGCTTCTTCCATCTTGTAGGTGGTGAGATTCGAGCCCTTAAGCATTGTTTTGGGAAATTCATCCAATGTCCCGAGGAAATAGAGTTTAGGAAACCCCCTCTCTTGGGATCCCGGGTTTTCTAATTACCTACTGAGGCAATGATGCATTATTAGAACCAGGAGGCCTGGGGGTGAGGGGAGTCCTCAAAGCAGTTTGATTCCCTGCAAGCTTCCTCCCTCTCCAGCCTGAGTACTCTGCACAAGCCTTGTTCCGTTCAGGCCTGCATTTGACCAAACTGCCTGATCTTAGCTGGCATCAGTTGCTACTTCAGGGAAAGGATACCATCCAAAGCCAAGACTGTGGTTACTGTCTCGTGGGACCCTGCCCTCTGGAGTGTGCTATGATTTTGGAAAGGAAATTTGGCGCACCCACCTGCAAGGGAAATTATTTCACTCTTGTCCCCAGGCTCTGGTTGGTAGATTAGTGCACAGCATGGCAGCTGTGAGACACGGGTTAGCAAAACTCTTCAGGAACAAGAAGGATTGAAGTCTCAAGTGGGATCTTCTCCTTCCTTTAGGTTTTAGAGGCTTTTATTGTTTAATCCCAAAGGAAAATACATAATTAACAACTGACTGTATTTGTGCCATTTTCCTGGCTCGGGGACTTGGAAAAGTTTTTCTCTCATTTTAGAGCCATTCAGTAGAGCCCTCTGGAGTAAGGTATCTCTGATGACACTGGGAGCCAAAGTACAAAACCTTCCCAACCCTTCCCTAAGGGGAAAGCCATTCACTGGTGTGGACACTTAACAATCTCTCTCCTGGGGACAGAGAAAGGATCTCTGTGACCTCAGCCATTGGCAGAATAAGGACATGATTCGGGGTATGAGGAATCCCACCCATTTCCCTGTGAAGATGGCACTATCTGTGGAGCCAACAAACCTGGGCAATCTGAAGCACGAGGCAAATTTGGATACTTTCTTGGTCTTCCTGCTCTGTCCAAAGTCTTCCCTTTTCTCCTGAGATTTCTGGGCTTGTCCTCTCCTGCTTTCTCTGCTACACGTACAGCCGGATCCACTATATGGGAAGATCTCAATCACCACACAGCCAGAGGCTGGAGATAATCTGAGGCTTCATCCCAGTTCAGAAGAATATGGCCAGCACTTTCCTGAGGACAGATGCTGTCTCTGTTGTCCTGGGGGTCCTATAGAAGGAACAGAATGGGACACAGTAGGCAGAAGAGAGGAAGAAAGAGACCACTTAGAAAATGGTCACCTCTTGATGCAGAAGGACACATGGCAGTTCGTGCAATGTTTGGTGTCCCCAGTCTCGGCTAAGTTCTGTAGCCCCTGAGGTTCCCTGGTTTGCAGAGGTCCCTCGGGTATCTTATACTGCTTCTAACAAGAACTCAGTCCCAATGTCCTGGTGCTACAATCAGAGGAGCAGACAGGTACTCCCAGTGTCCTCTCCCCATTAGATGGTAGGTACCCCCTGATCTTGTAGGTTCTAAGTCAGGGTGCTGTGTTACGTTACTAGGAGATGTATAATATGCCTGGAACTGGAACAGAGCCTTGGTAGAAAACCTAGTCTCAAACTGTGGATCCACTTCTACCAGTGCTGTGGCCCTGGATAAACACTTATAGCTTTTAACTTTCTCTGCATACTCGCTCGAGAGACATCTCTGACCACAAGACATACCCAAGTACAGAACCCTTGCAGCTCTGTCCGCTCCTGAGGACACAGCTGCTTCAGCATGGTGTCTTCATGGCACCTCACACTTGGTATTGTAGACTCCAAACCATTAGGATGTGCACTGACGGTAATAATGGTAAGGATCGGTAAAGCTGAGCCTTCATGTCCACGGGGCTGTGCAGGCCTGACCTGCCCTGAGACCTGCTACAGTGCTGAGATGCTGCAGTTCAACAGGTGAACAGGTTCTGTGTCCTATGTGTCTCCCCTTCAACTAATGGTCCTTCCATTGAGCTCTGACTGCCATTTTCCAAAGATGCTTGATTGTGGGTATTTAGGTCAAGATGAGTAGTGAACCCCTTGAATCCCTTGAAAAAAAAAATCTTCAGCTCAAAGGGCACAGGACCTGGAAAAATGCTCCTATGGTCGGATGGTGAAAGCTAGATAGTGTTTCCAGCATCCTGCCTTTCTGCCCACTTTGTGCCCGGGTCTTCTCGACTCACATCCATTGCTAGGTGGAGAGGTTCCCCCCGAGGCCTAGGTGAAGAGGTTTGAGGTGATGATGATGGGATGCTATGGTGTCTCGGAGACCAACGCATGCGCTCCTTCAAACCCAGAGAAGCACACTCTGGTATCAGGCGAGTATCCTGATACGCTTCTCCTGGTTGCGCACTTCCCAGCAGGCTGACCCCTCTGTTGTCCCCACAGCATACATCTACTATGTGGTCAGTATTACTGGCATTGGAGCCGGAGCTCATCGCCTGTGGAGCCACCGAACTTACAAAGCACGCCTGCCCCTGAGGGTCTTCCTCATCATTGCCAACACCATGGCTTTCCAGGTGAGAAGCTGGTGCTGTTCACTCTTGTGCCTCTACTCGATGGCTGATCCAGGGCAGAGTGGAGATCACTGGCACCCACAGAGGACCACTACCTTCAGTGGTCCTCCCAAGTGCAGAGCTCTCCACAACATGGGACACCTCAGAGTCACTGGGAAGGGAAACAGGAAGGAAGTAGAATGGGTTCTCCAGGCATAACTTTTCTTTTAACCCCTTAGTTCCTTGGGTTGTCACATTGGATGACTGCTGTGGTCCTTCGGGGTAAAGGACCATAGAACACCATCATCAAGAAACTAACAATGGTTTCCTCAACAGTCAACAAAAGCTCATGCTTTTCTCTGTCTTGGGACGCTACTAGAACGGGATTGGGGTGAGATGTGTCTAAGACTCAAGAACAGTCTCGTTTCAGATAGCAAGAGCAAACATGTCTATAGTTCCATGCGCTGGACACTGTGCCAGCATTTGGCACAGGTTAAATCCTTTAGTCCACACAACCATGCCAGAAGGTAGGCCTTATTGTTCTACCCACTGAACAGATAAGGAAACTGAGTCACCACGCCATTAAATAAGCAAACCTGATTGTCCTGTCAAGGCCTAGCATGACGGATGTAGGTCAAGCACTGACGATGGCTCCTGCAAGAAGTTTCTAGTGGGTAGACGGTAGGAAGTTAGGGAAGCGGACTCACCTCGCCATAGGCTGTTGCTAATAGTGTGGGATTTGACTTGGGTGATTGAGGAAAAGGTTTCAGAAAAGAGATTAGTTATTTTGGCTCTCTGATATCTGAGGTTCTTATTACATGTGTGTGATCACCTCTGCTCTGAAAATGTATTTGGCGAAGGCTCCCAGTTTCTGTCTTTGGAGGACAAAGAGAAAGAAGAGAAACACTGACACATTCTTGAAGAGATGAAGTCCAGAAACGTCCCAAGGTCGTTCGGAAATGGGCTCAGGCTTGTCAGTTACATGTTGGCCCTCTTGGGTCGGGTGACATGCCACTCGTGAAGGAGCTGACGTGGAGTTTTTTGTTGTTGTTTTGGGGTTTGTTTTTTTTTTTTTTTTTTTTTTGGATTTTCGAGACAGGGTTTCTCTGTAGCTTTTTTTTTTTTTTTTTTTTTTTTTTTTGGTTCCTGTCCTGGAACTAGCTCTTCTAGACCAGGCTGGCCTCGAACTCACAGAGATCCGCCTGCCTCTGCCTCCTGAGTGCTGGGATTAAAGGCCTGCGCCACCACTGCCCTGCTGACATGGAGTTTTTGCACCTTCACTACAGAGCAGAACCTTGGAGCCTAAGGCCATCTGCGTCCTAACCTCTCTGCCCCTGGCTCAGACATTGCCAGAGGAACCCTGTCTCATGCTGCTTGTCTGAAGAGTCACCATGTTCTCTGCCAGCGAAACTGTCTGAGCACTAAGACTCACCTCCCGTTTCCCACCATGCACCCCTGAGAAGCAACAGTGCCATTCGTGTGCTCTGGGCCCCTGAGCTGCTTTTCCACATAAGCTCTGGGAGTAAACGGCTGGAGAGGGTGTTCCTCCCGTCCTCCTTAGGAATCAGAGGCTCGGGACTCTGATAATGAGTCGGACTGAGAGTTCCAGGCCCTGGCAGACACCTAGGCTCTTGCATTCTCCCAGGAGGGCTTCTCTTCTCAATATTGGTGTCCCCTTTTCTGTCCTTCCAGAATGACGTGTATGAATGGGCCCGAGATCACCGCGCCCACCACAAGTTCACAGAAACACACGCTGACCCTCACAATTCCCGGCGTGGCTTTTTCTTCTCTCACGTGGGCTGGCTGCTCGTGCGCAAACACCCGGCTGTCAAAGAGAAGGGCGGAAAACTGGACTTGTCTGACCTAAAAGCCGAGAAGCTGGTCATGTTCCAGAGGAGGTGAGTGAGAGGGATGGAGCTTGGGAAGTAGGGTTTCAAGACGGACACATTCTCTTAGCACTTAGAATAGCTGAATGAATTTCTGGGTTTATATGCTCACAGCTTTCATTTAAGTCAAGTGTGGTGGTGCATGCCTATAATCCCAGTGCCGGAAAGACACAGGCAGACAGATCTCTGTGAATTCCAGGTCAGCCAGAGTCACATAATGAGACTGTCTCAAAAAACAAAGATCCTCTGGGGACTGAAGAGGTGGCTTAGCAGTTAAGAGCACTTCCTGTTCTTCCAGAGGACCCTAGCTTAGATGCCAGCATTTATATCGGCCGGCTTACACCTGCAACCCCAGCTCCAGAGAACCTGACACTCAATTCCGGCCTTCACAGGCACACATGTTCACGTGGCATTTACTCCCATAGACATGCGCACATATACATAAATAAAAATAATCTTTAAAAAAAGAAAAAAGTCCATTGGCCTTTAGGAAGGGGTGGCAGGTAGGTCTTTAGTCCTAGTACTTGATAGGCAGAAGCAAGTGAATCTCTGTGAGTCTGAAGCCAGTGTGGTCTACATAGTGAGTTCCAGGACAGCCAGAACGACATAGTGAGACCCTGTTTCAAAAAAAAAAGAATAAAAACAAACGAATTATCATTTCAAACAGACTAATGTCATCCCGAGTGTCTTAGACACACATGGGATTAACACAGCTTGTCTTTCCAAAAGCACACGGTGCTGTCGTAGCTGTGCTTTAAAGGTTTGGTCAGGTGAGGCCAGGTGAGGTCAAGTGAGGACAGGTGAGTCAAGTGAAGAAGACACTGAGCCCAAGAGGTGAGGAGAGGACACAAGTTAGCCTACAGAAGACGCAGATTAGGGAAGAAATGGGAAAGCTGGATGTAGGCCTCTCCCGTGACCCAAAAATTGAAGACATGGCTGCTGGGCACCAATCAATTCTCTCAGGAAATCAGAGGTCGGTCTGTGCAAATGAGATTGGGACTAGGCTTCCAGAGGGACAGAACCCACGGGAGATCGAGGACACTCGTTATGCTTCCTGGAGCTTTTGCAGTGTGCAGGCTTTGAGGGAGGGGGATAGCAGGAAAAGGAAAAATGTCAAAGACCCTGAAAGAGAAAAAGGGGGCTTAGGGGCAGATGAAAATCAGCCCTGGCATCCTTGCAGACTGAGGCTGTGGTTTGGTCCTGATTTGTTGAATGACCTGCCTCATCCCTCTACGAAGAAGAAGAATAGGGACCTTGTTCTATGGGCAACTGGTGGGATTATCTTGGGACAGTCTCAGCTCAATGTAGACTTACCTTGAGAATGATAACGATATTCTGTTCTGAAAGGATTTTCCACCCCCTGATGTGGGAGTGTCATATATCAATCTGTTGATTTCATTGGTTAAGCAATAAAGAAACTGCTTGGCCCTGATAGGTTAAAACATAGGTGGGAGGAGTAAACAGAACAGAATGCTGGGAGGAAGAGGAAGTGAGCTCAGAGACGCCATGCTCCGCTCTCCCAGGCAGACGCAATTCAGCTCCAACCCAGGATGGACATAGGCTAGAATCTTCCCAGTAAGCCACCTCGTGGGCTACAAACATTATTAGAAATGGGCTAGTCCAGGTGTGAGAATTAGCCTAGAAGAGGCTAGATAGAAATGGGCCAAGCAGTGTTTAAATGAATACAGTTTGTATGTTGTTATTTCGGGCATAAGCTAGCCAGGCAGCCAGGGTGCTGGGGATGCAGCCCCACAGCTCCTATTACTACAAAATGGCGTCCAATGTGGGGCTTGAACCCATGACCCTGAGATTAAGAGTTTCATGCTCTACTGACTGAGTTAGCCCCTCCCACTGAGAAGAGCCCATCTAGGTAAGGTATCCTTGCTCTACCAACTCTGCATGTGCTCTCTCCCCGTAGGTACTACAAACCTAGTGTCCTGCTGCTGTGCTTCATCCTGCCCACGCTGGTGCCCTGGTATTGCTGGGGTGAAACTTTCCTACACAGTCTGTATGTTGCCACTTTTCTGAGATACGCTCTGACCCTCAACGCCACCTGGCTGGTGAACAGTGCCGCTCATCTCTACGGTTATCGCCCTTATGACAAGAACATTGACCCCCGGGAGAATCCCCTGGTTTCCGTGGGATCTCTGGGTGAGTAAGCCATCTATAGCATTATGGCATTCAGTGGTCTTAGGTTTTGAACCTGGGACTAATGGCTGAGGTCCCTATTTAACATATCAGAGCAGACCTGGCTGCCGGGTTCTCCCTGTATCTCTCAGTCCCTACTTGTTACAGGGCCTCCTGACTGGCACACCCTGTCCCCTATCCTGAACTCTCCAGCTCAGGGGACCAGGCTGTTCTTCCTATGGACTCTCCCAGGTGTCCCTGCCTCTGGCTAGACTCTCCCACATATCCACAGTGAACCTCCTTCTCCATCACACCGAGGAGCAGTCATGTCTTTTTCTTTTCCTTTTTTTTTTCTTCCCATTCTGTCTCCTTATTTGGTGAGCTGTGAGGAAGACACGAAGCATCTGTACTTGTGTTTCGTGTCTCCCACTGTAAAACTAGGGGTTGTGAAATTGGGGAGAACATGAGAGTCAGGCAAGACGTTTCATGTAAAAGAAGGAAGGATTAAAAATACTATCTTTGATTGGAAGGTCAAAAAACAAACAAGCCAGGTTATGGTGGTGCACACATTTAATCCCAGCACTTGGGAGGCCGAGGCAGGTGGATCTCAGTGAGTTTGAGGCCAGCTTGGTCTACAAAGCGAGTTCCAGGACAGCTCGGATTATTTACACAGAGAAACCCTGTCTCAAAAAACCCAAATGTAAACAAACAACAAACAACCTCTAAATGATCCTGGTTAAGTTTCCCTTTCTCCAGTCAAGTCTCATTCACTTCTCTAGGCTGGGCTAGAATTTCCTGCTTGGGTCAGGAGACTCATAGCTATAATAGCAGTATCAATGGAGAATACAATAAACCTGGCGTGTCATGCCTAGCCATGCTATATAAAGAAAAAGAAAGCCCTGATTTTTTCAGTGGACTTAAAAGTGTGTCATTCTTGGGGGCTGGAGAGATGGCTCAGCAGCTAAGAGCTGACTGCCCTTCCAGAGGTCCTGAGTTCAATTCCCTGCAGTCACATGGTCTCACAGCCATCTGTAATGAGATCCGGTGCCCTCTTCTGACATGCAGGCATGCATGCAGACAGAACACTGTATGCATGACAAACAAACAAGCAGAAGGGTGCCCTTCTCAGAGCCTTGGCTCACCTCCCAGGTGTCTTTAATGCACTCCCTCCGCCCCCATCCAGGCTACAGGCACACACACCCCCCACTGCTTGTGTGAGGTCTTCCGTTCACCAATGTTTAAGTCAATCTTATCTACTTAAGCTATAGCCTACAACTCTTAGACCGTCATAGAAGTGGGATCCCAAGGCCTGAGATGAATTCTGCAAATGTAGTATAGTGAAAGTTCCATCTCCAGCCGCTTTAGGACTTGGCTGCTAGAAGCAGCAGCCAGCACCCTGCTTTTCTCTCTGGACGTTTCCTCTCCATGCCTTCTCGTCCTCCCCCACCTCATCTTCTGCTCTCCTGCTTCCTGCCATCCTAGTCTCAATTCCTTCTTCCCTTCCTCTCTCTTTGCTTTCTCTCTCTTCCTCCCACTTCCCTGCTTCCTTTATCCCGATCCTCCCGAAGTACTAAGGCCTACACTTACAGCCTTGTGCAAATGCTCCCTCTCTGAGCTAAGTCCCCAAGTCCTCTTTCGAGTTTCTACACTGTGAGTCAAGAGTTCACTATGTAGTCTAGTCTGGCCTTGCACTTACTCTGTAGCTCAGGCTGATGCTGAACTTCTACCAATAAGCTATTTGCCTGGTTCTTTTTTTATTATTATTATTTTTACCTGGGAAATATGGTCTTTCTAATTTGTCCCAGCCAGACTTGAACTTCCTGTCTCCTGGTCAGCCTCTAGGTAACTTGGATCACAGCCAGGGCTAAGTAACAATGTATAAATCCAGACCCCACAGTCAAAGGCTTCATCTGTTTTGTTATATTTCATGATAAATCGTTCTGTTTTTGTCCTCTCTATAAAATTTAGCACCTTATATCTTGATGTTATTCCTACATATTTTTATCTGTATACATAGAAATTGTAGGGCTGGAGAGATGGCTCAGCGGTTAAGAGCATTGCCCGCTCTACCAAAGGTCCTGAGTTCCATTCCCAGCAACCACAAGGTGGCTCACAACCATCTGCAGTGGGGTCTGGTGCCCTCTTCTGGCTAGCAGGCATACACACAGAATATTGTATACATAATAAAAAAATAAATATTTGCCGGGCGATGGTGGCGCACGCCTTTAATCCCAGCACTCGGGAGGCAGAGGCAGGTGGATCTCTGTGAGTTCGAGACCAGCCTGGTCTACAGAGCTAGTTCCAGGACAGGCTCCAAAGCCACAGAGAAACCCTGTCTCGAAAAACCAAAAAAAAAAGAAAGAAAAGAAATTGTAAAAGGAAGTTAGATTTTAATTTTTTTTTTTTTGGTCTTTTGAGATGAAGCTTCTCTGTGTAGCCCTGGCTGTGTTGGAACTAACTCTGTAGACCAGGCTGACCTCGAACTCACAGAATAAGGGGGATTAAAAGCATGTGCCACCACCACCTGGTGATTTTCATACTTCTTGAAGTCATAGTTTATATTTCTTGTAATAAATTTGTGTAAATGTTCAGTTAAATCCTCAGTGTCATAAAAATAACACATTTTCATCCAAATCAGGAATTTCAGAAAAATGTTTTAAGTATCACGTTATACAGAAAACCTTTATTAGAGAGGTTGTGTGTGTGTCCGTCGGGTTCTCCAGAGTAACAGAACTTATAGAACGCATGTATGTTAGAAGGACTAACAGGCTGTGGTCCAGCTAGTTATCAAAGGCTGCCTGTGGACAGAAGGCCCAGAATCCACTAGCGGCTCAGCCTAGATGTCTCAGCTGGTTTTCCTTACAGCCAGAAGCCTGAAGAAGTAAGGCCAGTGAAGGGAAAGACTTGCTAGTGAGGGAAGGTGAGAACAAGCGCGCAAAGAGAGATTTCCTTCCTCTACTCCTAGGCTTCCAGCAGAAAGTAGGACCCAGGTAGGGGTGTGTCTTCCCACCAAGGATAGGGACTAGAAGTGGGTCCTCCTAGTTCAAATGATTTGGTTACACAAAAAATCCCACACCGGTGCACCCAATCGTTTGGGGGTTTTAGTTAATTCCGGATACAGTAAACTTCACAACCAAGAATAGCCATCACAAGCCAGGCGCGACCTTGCTCGCCTTCAACCCCAGCACTCTAGAGGCAGAGGCAGGAGGATCTCTGAGTTCAAGGTCAGCCTGGTCTACAAAGGAGCTCCAGGACAGTCAGAGATACACAGAGAAACCTTGTCTCAATTCCACCTCCCCCAACCCCTCTTCCCGCCCCAAAAGAATAGTCATTACAGTGAGTGTGGCTGTGTGGCTGATGGGGGAGGGTAGCCCTGCCACAGTGCCTGTGTGCTGATCAGAGTACAACTTTGTACTGTCCGTTCTGTCCTTCCATCTGCATACGGCTTCTTTGCATCAAACTTGGGTTGCCAGGCTGGCTTCAGCAGCTTGTATCTCTTGCAATATGTTTATGTAAATGCTTCATTAAATATTCAGTTTTATTTACTATAAAAGTAACTGTCATTCAAATATCAGAAATTTCAGGAAAAAATTAAATATCATATGATAGAAGAAACCTTCATTAAAGGGATCTGTTTACGAGCAGCATCCCCCTGCACCAGGGTCCGAGCTCTAAGAAGTAGCAGCCACAGCAGTCATTCTGGGAACTAGCAATGGCTGAGAAAAGTCCCACCTTGGCTGGGCCCCGGTTTCTCTTCCTTTCCTGTTGTAGCTGCCTACACTTTCTGGGGACACCAGCCCCACGGGGAAAGGGATGTTGCCTGCTCACCTTCGTAAGAAGCATAGACACTGATCTTCCATAGGGTTCTCCCCTCCTGAGAACACATACACAGTCCAGGAGCCAAGAGCATCTCAGAGCATACTGACATTCCGGCACTTTCCAATGTAAAGTATTTCCCCAGAATAGTCAGATTCTTACCCTATTGGCCTCGAGACACGTTTCCTTCCAACATACTTTCAAATATTAAGGACAACCAGGGCTTCTGAACTCATTGCTTCTGAGTAGAAGGCAGTGGGTTAACCATTCACTAAAGAACAGCACTGGGTAAGAGGTGTGTGAAGAGGAGGAGGCAGCAGTCACCGGGCCCCCTAATGCTCCCCGTGCTTCTCTTCCAGGCGAGGGCTTCCACAACTACCACCACGCCTTCCCCTACGACTACTCTGCCAGTGAGTACCGCTGGTACATCAACTTCTCGACCTTCTTCATCGACTGCATGGCTCTCCTGGGCCTGGCTTACGACCGGAAGAAAGTATCTCAGGCCGCTGTCTTGGCCAGGATTAAAAGAACTGGAGATGGGAGCCACAAGAGTGGCTGAGTTTGGGGGTCACCTTTTTTTTTCCATTCCCAAAACCAGCTGACCAGAGGTTTAATAGTGTGGCTCAAATAGTAAAAAAATACCATCAATGTTTTAAAGAGTCTTGTTTCAAGACACTGTCATTGTAAAATATTCAAATATTAAAAGGTAAAAACTCTTTCATGGTCTAAGCAGATACCCTTTTATTCTTATTTTATTCTTAGTCTTCTACTCCAGGGGCTTTTTTTTTTTTTTTTTTTTTTGGTTTTTCGAGACAGGGTTTCATCCAGGGGCCTTTTCGTGGCTAAGTCCTCCCCTCCCTCTTCGTACTTTATTGCCTTCAGGGAAGCTGTGGTTAGCAGTAGGTAGGAAGAGACCTTTGAAAACTCAGCAAATGTTTTAAATTAAAGGACACCACGGAGAGCGCTCTTGCCTTGATCTCTCTTGAGCATCAACGGAGGTGTCTCGAGCTAAGACTCCAAGCAGATCCTCCTTGACGTTGTCTGCTAACTACCGTCGGGAAAAGGCAAAAAAACTACCACAGACAGAAAAACAAAACCCAAACCCTTTCCCTGGCACAGGGCTTGCACTGTGATAAACTACCAGGGGAGTCAGCAGGCTGGATGTGATCCTTACATGGGGGCGGTGTCACGTAGAAGGAGTTACAATGTTCTTTCTGTGATTGGACCCAGCATCTGCCCAAGCAGACACCAGCCCCTCCACACAGCATCCTTCCATTCTGTCCTGTGCCCTAGAACTTGGCAAGGAAATTCTTCCCATTTCAAGACGGAGAGGGATGAAGAGGCTGAGACTGGCAGCTGCTCACAGTTAGCTTTCCCAGGGAAAGTTGTTTAGATCGAAGAGTTTCTGACAAATGACTCCACGCCCCTCTGCAACAGTTTCAAAGCCCGGTCCCTTTATTAGTCCAGGTTGCTCCTAGGATTGATAAAATCCAGGCATCCCTCCACAGCGTTTTCTCCTTACCTCGTTCCTTCCTGTTAGATTTTATGTTCGTGATGATCCTAGGTCAGCGAACATTTGTTGCACATGTTTGGTTTAAAGAGACAGCTAAGGGCTGGAGCGATGGCTCAGCGGTTAAGAGCATTGCCTGCTCTTCCAAAGAAAGGTCCTGAGTTCAATTCCCAGCAACCACATGGTGGCTCACAACTATCTGTAATGAGGTCTGGTGCCCTCTTCTGACCTACAGGCATATATGCAGACAGAATATTGTATACATAATAAATAAATATTTTTTTAAAAAAAAGAGACAGCTGGGGGGCTGGAGAGATGGTTCAGTGGTTAAAGGTCCTGAGTTCAATTCCCAGCAACCACATGGTGGCTCACAGCCATCTGTAATGAGATCTGGCGCCCTCTTCTGGCATGTGCCATCATACATGGAGGCAGGATGTTGTATACATAATAAATAAATGAAAAAATCTTTTTTAAAAAAAAAGTTATAGGAGACAGCTGGAAGATGCCATGCAGGCTGCTAGGGAGAACATTCTCCACCAGTCTTCCTGAGCTGTACTCAACAATCGGACTGGCCAGGCAATGTGCTCGCCACTACAACAGCAGCAAGTCTGTTGGGGGTAACCAACTGCTACCTGGGTAGACCTGAGACCCACTCGACAGAAGGGAGTTCAACATCGAGAAGCCTGGGGCTGGGGTCCAGGGAGATGGCTCAGCAGATAAAGGCCCTAGCTGTGCAAGCCTTATGACCTAGGGTCAATCCCAGGAGACCTATAAAAAGCTCAACAAAGCCGGACGGTGGTGGCGCACGCCTTTAATCCCAGCACTCGGGAGGCAGAGGCAGGCGGATCTCTGTGAGTTCGAGGCCAGCCTGGTCTACAAGAGCTAGTTCCAGGACAGGAACCAAAAGCTACGGAGAAACCCTGTCTCGGAAAAAAAAAAAAAAACCCTCAACAAAAGGGTACATTTCTGTAATTTTAGTACTCCTATGGAGAGATGGGAGACACAGAGAGACTTCCCTAGAAGCTTGCTGGCCTGCTAGCTGGGAGTAGCTTGGCAAGAGAGATCCCACCTCCAAAACAAGGTGGAAGAACTGACCTCAAAAGTTGTCCTGTCACCTGCATGTGTACCCCACACACACACAAATAATGACAGTAACTTTTTAATTAAATTTTTAAAGCCTGTAGCTGTGGAGTTCCTAAGCCTTAATAAGGCACTTACTATTGTTTTCCTAGCTGGACATAATGTGTCCATCAAATTACCTTCTGAACAACTCTGTTTTTGCCTGTTTGGGCAAAACCTCTCAGCTTTGGTCAGAGAAGGCTCTTTTCACAGTGGTCAGCAGTAGCTTCCGAGACTCGGTTTGTCTTAGTAGTGAGACTACGTGACTGAGTGCTCAGTCCTGAAAGCAGCATCCATGTTAATGTCTCCAGAGCTCAGGGAACATCATGGTAGAAGCGGCAGAAACAGCGTTTGCGCCTGAGAGCAGGGCTATGGTAGCACAGAACACTGTCTTCCAGGCATGGCATGGCCTGCGCACTCTTGAACTTAGGGCAGATGTGATTACCTGCAAAACATCTATTCAAGACTGGGCCTGTCACCATCATGTCATGCCTAGGAGTGGGGCTCACGAAATAGAGACGGACAGCTTTTCCATCTTCCCTCCCTCCCTTTCTCTCTCTTCTTGGTGGAGACACTGGTAAGGCATCTGCACTTCTGTAAACGAAGCTGCTCCCATGGTCATGTAAGTCATTCTCATGAAATCTATTGACTATATAAAAATAAAAGACATGAAAATAGAAGGGGGGCTGGAGAGATGGCTTAAACGAGAGTGGTTAAGGACCCCACTGCACTTCAGAGGACCTAGTTTCCCTTCTCAGCATCCATAGGGCCCCTCATACTGTCTGTAACTTCAGCTCCAGGGGATCTGGTGCCCTCTTCCGGCCCCTGTGGGTACTGCACGAATGTACACAGGCATACAAGCAAGCAAAACACTATACATAAATATTTGTTTAAAGACTTGAAGGTAGAAGGAGACTAGCTGGGGAAATAAAGTAACTGAGTAAGAAGAGTAGCAGAATGAGAGAGGGTAACAGAGGCCCCAGGAAGACCCAGAAAGTTCGGTCTTGGCAATGACTGTATAGACTTTCTAAGGGTGTTCCTCAAAGGACATAATTTACAACAAGGTTTGAAGACCAGTTGAGCGTCAACGGAGGTGTCTCGAGCTAAGACTCCAAGCAGATCCTCCTTGACGTTGTCTGCTAACATGGTTTAAAAATTAAAATTCCATGGGCTGGTTTATTTTCCTTATCTTGGAGAATCTTCTTTTGTAAGTGAAACTGTAGGGTGGTTTCATGAGGCACATTGTTTTGATTCAGGGATAAGATGGGAGGGCCAAGCCACAAGGTTACAAGCATTCTGACCTTAAAGAAGTATATTTGCTGTTTTCGACATGGGTGTTTGAGGTCTCTTCTGGAAAACATTGCATCACCACAGACAATTCTGGCTTCATTAGTTGTGTTGGAGATACTTGACTCACAGTCAATGAGAAAGGCAAACCAGATTCCAGAACCAAGAGCTTCTTTCCCTTTTCTGTCCCCATGATGAGATGGGCTCATGCCTTCCCTTCTGGGATGGACCTCAGACTCTGAAACCGCGAGCCCCAATCAATCCTTCCTCCATCAAGTTGTTTCTTAAAAAGCTGACTTCTTTATTTGGGCATATCAGTGCAGAAGTCACTATTACAGAACCATTTGTGTCTGCTTGCTTGCTTGCTTGCTTGCTTGCTTGTTTGAGACACGGGCTCACTAGGTATCCCAGGCTGGTCTTGAACTCACAGAGGACTCACTGAGAAGAGCCTCTGCCTCCCAGTGGTTGGAATCATTAGGACATCTTAACACTACACCCCAGCTGAGTTTTGACAGGTCTGTCATGTGCTTGACTTTTTCCGACCACAGTTCACCCTGTTCCATCCTCAGCTCCTCCAGGGAGCTTTCCCCTGCTGGAAAGTTGCCCTGTGACTAGGCAGTCATGCTCAGTGAGATGAAGACTCTCAGGGGTGTCTGGATCTATCTCCGCTACAGAACACGCTAGGTGTCACCCGAGTATGAAGTAAGTCCAGTTGTGTGACCCATAGTAGCCTTCTATGATGCAGGCAAAAACTTATTTTTCTCAATGGATTTGGCACAAGGGATTCAGATAATAATCACAAAGCACAAGAAATAGAGAGTGTGCCTTGGAGTGGCTGGGGGCAAAAAGAACTTCCTCCTGGGGACACTCAGCTCTGTCCCGCCCCGCGACCCTCCCCAGACTTCTCTATCCAAGCTGTAAAGGAGCAGGTGGGCTGTGTTGACTTCATGTAGGTCTGGACCCACATGAGGACCTGCTCAGAAATCCCTACAGAGTATCCATTCTAGGCCATTTCTCAAAGAAAGCAGTAATAGTTAGGGTCAGGGAAAGCAAAGTGAGTTGTTCCCTAATTCCAGCAGAGGGTGCAAGAATGCTCACAGCGCCTCTTCTTATTTCTTGGAGAATTCTAGATGACCTAAAAAACATTCCTGACACACACTTTTTTCTTGGTATAGCCGTTTAAAATGATGTGGATTTCCACAACATTACCCACCTTAATGAGGACAGTTACACAGGCTGAATCACAGCCCCACACTGCGGCAGTCCTGGTGTGCGAGGGTTTTCAGTCAATCCACTGGTCTGGATACAGTCAGTGCTTTGTTGATACTCAGAAACATGCCCTACTACGATCCTAGCATTTTTATCTCGGCAAGTTTCTTTTCTCCATCCTCCTTAAGACTCTGGTACAAGCTGCACTAACTGTAAATCATTTAATTTTCTTCTCAAGTAAAAGTGAGGAGGCAGGAGAGATGGCTCAGTGGGCAAGAGCACTGGCTGCTCTTCCAGAGGTCCTGAGTTCAATTCCCAGCACCCACACGGTAGCTCGCTGCCATCTATGGTGGGGTCTGATGCCCTATCTTGCATAGGGTTGTACATGCAGATACAGCACTCATATAGATTAAATAAATAAATCTTTTAAAAAT